CAAGCTATATATTGACTATTTGCGATCAGCATAAATGCCAAATTCTTCTCAAAATGTGTACTAGAAGAAATACTCAAGCTTAAATTGAGTAATATATTAGTTGTTTGTATTATGGTATAAATAATACAAATTTGATCACGAAATTGACTAAAACAACAATTGATGCACTGACAAATAAAATACATTTACATACCCATAGTATCATATTTGATACACAATTTTCACCAACGTTTTTCAATAAAATATTTCATGATATATTAAGTTATTATGAGTTGTTTCACACTAATAAAGGCTAATTTTGAAATATAATCAATTTTCGCTAAATTGCGCCTACGGTAACTGTTCCAAAAATAGGACTTCTTATCCCGTGAAAATCCTGCCGGCTACAACCTGCGTGCAGCCGTCTTTGATTCTTTAAAAAAAAGAGACGTTTTCCACCTGCAGTACATAAGTCATCCACCAGGGGGTAAAAGACAGGTATAGGATTATATACAACGGGTTTTTGAGGAAAGGGGTAATCCTATTACTGACGTAGAGGTCTTAGAAATATTTGTATCAAATATGATACATATGGCGCTATAGGGTTAAATCTCAGGATAATTGTTTCTGATCGTGTGTGGACTAATCACCTCATATGTATGACAGTAACAGGAAGACAATGATTAATTCTAGGCAACGTATTCGTCCTAATACAATCCCGGACCGACAGGTGGCAGCTGGTGCACTGCAGACGTCGGTGGACCTGCCCGGATGGTGATGGCTGGCGGTGCTGCGAAAAAGCCCTTCAGCGGGCAGCGGCCTGCGTAACACCGCCCGGTTCTGCTGGAGGGCCGAAGAGGACGTTGGCGCCTTCATCTGGGAGGTGGCCTTCGGAGCGCTGGGCCTGCGCATGGACAATATCCTCTGCGTGTTACGGAATGGGCCCTTCCGCTTCTTCGAGGTCACCTTGTCCACCGACGAAAGCGACAACAAGGTCCTGGAGCGGAGCAAGGAGAGGGCCCTGCACCCTCTCCTCGGACGGTGCAACATTGAGCCACTGTGGTGGCCCAACAAGCGGGTAATAACTGTGCGCTGTTTCAACCCGCATGTCACCGCCGAGGCCGTCGCTGTTTTTAAAAAAGTTTGTGGATATCTGGGATAAACTGGGGACGCCAGTTTCAGGCCCGCCTGTGCCCGGACACTAATGGGGCGGGCAGTTTTAGCCACCCCCCCAGCCTATTTTAATTTACGGGGTAACAAGGCTTACCTCTTTTCTGGACAGCCTCCCTTCTGCCGACAGTGTCACAGCTTTGGACATACTCTGGAAGGATGCGCCAACCTGCGCTGTTGCAACTGCCTGGAGTCGGGGCACATGGCCAGGGGCTGCAAGGGCCCCCGTCGCTGCACATATCGTAACGGCGACGCCCATCTAGCGCGTTCCTGCCCGCAGAAGAAAACATCATATGCAGACGCTCTGTTGGGCAACCAAAACCCGGTGCTGAATCCTCTCGTAAGCTTTCACAATCTGTTTTTTTTTCAGGGCTGGACTGCGAACTTCCAGGTAGCCTCAACCAAAGAAGTTTAACCAGCGTGTACATTAGCCGGTTGTTCTGCGCACTGATGTCTTGTTGAGCTGGCGCATAGCGTTTAGCCATCTTAAGTCGCTGAATCATGCCAGCCTCAAGATCCTCCCGCTTGGTGCGGCAGTACATTGTGTTTCCCCAGTGTGTTTTGTACAGCTGGTTAAACCTCTGGTGCTGTTTGTCATATTCCTCAACGGCATTCCAGGCATCAATCAGACTGCTCCTCTGTTCTGAGGTCAGCGTTAAGCGCTCCTCATTCAGACCAATGTCCACCAGGAGAGAGCAGAAGATCTCCAGCTGTCGGTATCCAGGCAGGGGATTTGAACTGCAGATATCCTCCTGTTAAAAAATGCAATGTGATATTTTAACTTGTGCAACTGAAGTGACTACGTGCAAATTAACAATAAATAATCATGAAACAATGGAGATGGCTAGCTACTCGCAAAAGCAGGAGGGTTGGTTTCGCTGGTCTCACTGCTGGTGAGCCTCATGTGCGACAAAATGGGAGCCACCACATCACCGTATGCCTCGTCTTCCTCCCCCGGGTCAGGCTGGCCAACTTGAATTACCTCCTCGTCCTCTGCAAGTCCCTCACTTGACAGGTTATCCAATGTGAAGGAACCCGATTCCCCTGTGCTCTGACTGAAGAGGTACTCCAGCCCAAGCAGCTCATTCGTCATCATAGCAGCAGGGGCACGGAAGTTCTCCTCCACAGTCTCCCCAAATAGCTGCTGGCAGCGGGTGTTCAGCCTGGCGATCAGTGGTGCTGAATAGGACAAGTGACGCCGACCTTTGCCACCATAAACAGCATCTGAGGATCTATCGGAGTTCCAGCGGGCGATGCCGCTAATCAGGTAGACCTGATAGGACCTGCAGATGACAAGATGCACTGAAATAAAGATAAAACTAACTGGTTTGAAAAAGCTGTCAGAACTGCCGGCTTCATATCACAGGAAAGGCTGTGATCAGGCGGAACGACTCCTGTGCCCCGAGTTTAACTCTCCGCACATGGTGCTTGAGCTGCGCCCAGGACACATGGAGTCGAACAACGTCTTCGTCCGAAAGGAACGCAAACATCGTGGATCTCTGTGCCCTTACAGCTCTGATGAGGAACTCCAGATCTTCACGGTTGTAGGCCAGGACACCTCCAGCGAGTGCAGACTTGAAGGTGGCGTATTTGGAATGGTCCCTGTGCCCGGCAACACCCCTGATCCACATACAAAATCAAGGGCACGGGCTGATTTGCCTGCTGGAAACGGTCCATGACTCCACGACACATGGGCCCCAGAGTCTCCGCAGACGAAAGACACAATCTGTGAATGTTCATTGTCTATGCTGGTGAACCACTCAGCTGTGCCTTTGCCCTCCCCCTGACAGCTTTCTGACCATATATACATCGGTCGATGTTTGCCTCCAAGACGATCGAGACTTGCGGGAAGCTCTCTGCGTACTCCGCCAGACAGTCTTTAATCCAGTGGTTCTGGATTGCCGCCTCTTTTCTGTGCTTGTCAATGACACTGCAATTACAAGCAACATGTTGTTATCATTAGCAAAAAACCTCTGCAAAAGATTAGCAACTTAATAAATGTATCTAGAGGAAAACTGCTTTCAGCAGCTAAATAAAATGACACTTAAGCATGAAGTATAAGCGTAAGTTCCATAGAATATACTTACTACTTCATGTAGCCCACATCGTTTGCCACAAGCCAGCAGAACGGTGCATGCTCATACTGGCCAAATGGTATGACCAGCTTCCCCAGGCACTGCTGATGGGACGGTGCTGGAATCCCTTCAGCACGGAGGAGTTCTTTTGCACAGACCAGGGCAGTGGACTGGTGCAGCAGTTGGCTGGGGGGCTTGGGGAAGATCATCTTCTTCTTTGTACATGCGGGCCTCTTTAGTCGCCACAAGTACTGCCTGTTGCCGACTTGGCAGAGCATTGGGGTTCACAACCCGGATTGCTGGTGCTGCCATCTTTACTTTACCTGGAATGTAATGGAAATGTAGTTTGAAATGTACTAATGACATTAGTTATTATGAGCACTTCTCTAACAAATGTATTATCAAAGCTGTTTATTCTGCTCATATTGTGCAACTCGTTTATACTATCTAATCTTTAGCGCATGTTAAGGGACACTTTTTTTTCCAAATTACCAAACGGTAACTTTTGGGGATGGACAGAAATGCTCCGATCCTATTGAGGATAGAAAAATAATTTTCCACAGCCAAAGTATTCACTTTACACTAATCTTTTATATTATACAGTTGTGCAGGTATTGATGAGGTTTTCTATAGATGCAATTTTGTCAGACATTTCATTTTTTTTCTTGGGTAAACACAAAAGAGAATTGGTACGTAGGATAGTGATTAAGTATCATGGCAACTCCCCCACAGTCCCAATTTTTTAATTAACTTGGTTTCAGGGGAATTAGATTTTGTAATTTTTTGCATATGGTTGTTTGTATTCAGCGTTTCAAATATTGTTTTATGTAAAAATTGTTTACTTGAATTGTCAAACAGTGCCATTTTAAATACAGGGTGTCTGTAAAATACCCTGGCAGAAGACATCTTGTGTTGGTTTATTGCCACCATTTAAAAAAAATGGAAAAATGCTTCACTTGCTACTGTTCAACTATCGAAAAAAGTGTTTGCCGTCATTCTTCAGTTATTCCTAAATTCAGTTAAATAAGTAAATTACGAGCATGGCGTGAAGAAAGTTCTATTCATCAGTTAGAATTCTGATAATGTAAAAAAGATACACTGTTTTTACTTCAGTTAAAACACTATTGCCAAAAGCAATAACACTACCTGGGCATTGGAAAAAAAACAGTACATACATTAATTACTATTTTTTATTTTAGTTAAAACAATACATTAACAACAGTATTTTGTAATTACTGTATTTTACAGTTGGTACACTGCTGTAACCCAAAAATACAGAACATATCACTTAACTTACTTTAGTTACGTGATTGTTACTGCAAATTAAAAATAGTTTTTTATTAGTTACTTTTAAATTGCCGCCAGTTAAATTACTGTGAATTTTACAGTACGTTTTTAAGTGTACCCTTGACATATACTCTAGTTTGTTGTCAGGAACATACATTGAGGTTGTGTTGTCTATTTTAATATTTAAGTTTGAGTAGGAATGTTTTAACTCTAAACATTCTTTCAGGTACCCAAACCATAAAAAATACACAGATGTCCTGGGATGTCTGATCATCAGGTTTCCATTTTTGAGAGACCACAGCTCTTCTTTATGTACGTTATTTTATGCAAACATTATTCTTCAGTTGAATTTATATACCAGTGGTACCTCGGTTCTCAAACTTAATCCGTTCCGGACTCTGGATCGAATCCTAAAAAGTTCGAGTTTTTTTTTGTTAGCATTTAAACACAAAATGAACAGGATAAGAGCATTTTTTTCTTAATGGCTTCCAAAATGATAAAGATATTATCCCAACATTACCCCTGTCCTGCCCCGATCGTCCGCTCCTTCCGTGTGCCACGCCCCCTCGTTAAGCTCGTCTGGGATCCCCATGTGATCAGCTGTTTCTGGTTGTTGTCATTAGTCCTCCGTATTAAGTTCGCGTTTGTTTGTTTCCCCAGTCCGTTGGACTTGCTTACAGCGCTGGCCTAAAGCAACGCATTCTGATCCTGACGCAATGCATTACGGTTAGATGCATTGCAACCTCTCACCCGGCTGCACAAACTGAAACCGCCTCCGTGACGACACACATTTGCCCTTGTATCCCAGGCAGTTCCGATGCGTAATCTGCTACTTTTCCCGAATATCACGTAAAGCAGTCAGAACTGGTTTTCAGTTAATTTACCTGGTAAAATATAGTTTAAATAAATGACATAAATGCTCTAATAGTAGTTAGTGGTTTATTTATTGTTAGTTACTGTAATGTTGCACTGCTTTATTTGGTTAATCATCCAGTCTGTAAAGAAGGCATTCAAGTAAGAATTGTAATGCTCTCCAATGCCTGCTGGAAGTTTACTTCATCTTTGGGGTGCAGTACCCCAAGCAGATAAAGCACACCTTGAGTTTTGCAGAGCATTGTTTGTTTCAAATGGCAAATGGACAAAAACCTGTGTCTATTCCTGTACTAAAGTTGTACAAATCAGATTTGCTCATGACTGAAAGGTGAATTGTGGTTTTCTAATGGATTTTATTTAGGGATGCACCGAAAATTCAGCCACCGAAACTTCTCAGCCAAAAATGCATTTTCGGTTTTCAGCCGAACAACTCTTAAACACAACCGAAACAGGATTTTGTGATGACGCAAGCAAAACCCGCGACCAGCATGCGCTCGACTGGATCAGAGCCAACATGTCTGCCATGTGGGCGTATTTGAAAATAAGACCCACGGAAAGCAATTTGTAAATCATGTAAATGCTGAAATTTCAAGATGTGGTGCATCTGCAAAGACCATAACCCTCTGGGGTCTAGGGGTAGAGAGAACACTTTCCCTGACTGAGGCATGATCACATATTTCTTCAAATATCAAACTTAATTCATGGCAAATTATTCAAATTATTTCTTATATATTTGTTTTGCCGTTATACTCATCTTTATTTTAATGTATGTTGTAAATATGCCATCAAAGTATAGACATTTCAAAATGCAGTTTGGAACACTTGCAGAAACATAATAAAAAGTACATAGTAAGCAATGCTGGCAGTTTGTTTTGATCCCAGATATCTGATCACCAAAGTCTTGGCTACATGAAGATGACTAAATAGTGTAGTTGCAACATTCAGTTGGATAAATAAGAAAAAGGTAACTCATGCCACTATTTCTAGCAACTTTCATGTGTATGAATGAACCATTGACACCCCCCTCCCCCTTTTATGGTGCTGACGGGGATGTATCTGGGTTGCGTTCATCAAATTACCATGCGAATGCGATTTGAATACGCGCTAATGCAGCTATTTAGAACGTGAATAGCGATCTTCGGGTGACAGCGGTACTACACGCCCCCATGCAGGTAAAACAAAGTAAGGTTACATGGTTTACTTTTTTGCCGATTTAACCTAATTTTACAAACTTTAATACTTCCAACAAGACGTTTTGAAAAGAGATTACGGATTTATCCATCTTTTTTTTTCATGATTCTACATTAAGATTTCATAAGAACATAAGGACTATACAAACGAGAGGAGGCCATTTTGGCCCATCGAGCTCGCTTGGGGAGAACTTAACTAATAG